CCAGACCAAGATACATGATTTTAAACAAGGAGATCATGATGTTACCAAGTACTACAGCATGCTACGGAGCTTATGGCAGGAGTAGGATTTGTTCAACGAATTTAAATGGCATTGTTCCATGGACAGTACTCAATATCAAAAAGGCCTGGAGAGAGATCGAGTATTTAAGTTCCTTAGGGGTCTGAACAAGGACTTGGATGAAGTAAGAGGTCGTATACTTGGATGAAGTAACTTCTGCCATCAATTGGAGAAGCTTTTGCAGAAGTTAGGAGGGAAGAAAGGCGACAGTCAGTCATGTTAACCGCTGCTACCCCAACAAATCTGGATACCTCAGCTTTGGTTTCTAAAGGACAAAACAATTACTCCTTTAGTAATCAAAATAACATACGAAGGGGAGAAAGAGTGGTGTGATCACTGTAATCGCCCTCGTCACACAAGGGAAACTTGCTGGCAGCTACATGGTAAACCAGCCAACTGGAAAATATGCAACCACAGAACCAAGACAATCAGGGTATGCAGGCCAATGTTGTTAACTCAGGAAGTGCACAACCAGCAAAAAGTTCAGAATCTGTTCCCCAATTCAGCAAGGAACAAATGGATCACCTGTGTAGACTTTTGAGTCAGTCCTCTAATTCCAATTCTGGTACCTCCTCTTGTTCTGTCGCTCACCAAGGTAATCTTTTGACTGCTTTTAGTGCTCCAGCTGAAAAAAACAGCCCCTGGATCATTGATTCAGGTGCCTCCAATCATATGACCAGCTTGTCAACCTTGTTTACAACATATAATCCTTATCCTGGTAACTCAAAAATTAAAATTGCTGATGGATCTTTCTCAGCTATTGTAGGAACGGGATCAATCCCTCTTTCACAAAATATTTTTTTACAGTCTGTTCTCCCTGTTCCAAAACTATCTTGCAATTTAATATCCATTAGTAAACTGACGAAGGATTTAAATTGTGTTGCTAAATTCTTGTCAACTCTAATGTGAATTTCAGGACTTGCATTCGGGGAAGACGATTGGCAGTGCTAATGAGAATGGAGGTTTATACTATTTTGAGGATGAATATACCTCAAGTGGACAAGCTCAAACAACAAGTTGTGACACTTCCTCTTCTGCTGATGGTGAAATAATGTTGTGGTACCGTAGGTTAGGCCACCATAGTTTTCCTTATTTAAAGACTTGGTTTCCACTGTTATTCAAAAATAAACATCTTTCAATTTTTCAGTGTGAAGTTTGTCAATTTTCTAAACATCAACGCTCTGTATTTCCTTCACAACCATAGAAAGAGTCTTCACCTTTTTTTATGATACATAGTGACATTTGGGGTTCATCTCGCACTCTTATCATTACGGGTGCTCGTTGGTTTATAAAATTTATTGATGATCACTCGCGTGTATGTTGGGTTTTTCTGTTAAAGGAAAAATCTGAAGCCGGGAAAATATTTCAAAATTTTTACTCCATGGTGCTTACACAATTTCAAAGAAAAATTCAAATTCTCTACACCGACAATGGCAAAGAGTATTTTCATTCCATTCTTGGCAACTCTCTGTTACAAAATGGGATCATTCATCAGTCTTCTTGTTCTAACACTCCTCAGCAAAATGGCATTGCCGAAAGGAAAAATAGACACCTATTGGAAGTAGCTCGATCTATAATGTTTACTTCTGGAGTTCCTAAACAATATTGGGGAGAGGGTGTCCTTACTGCCTCTTACTTAATCAATCACTTACCAACCCGTGTTTTTCAGTTTCAAACACCACTTTCTGTCTTTACCCAATCCTTTCCCAATGTTCCACTCTTTACCTCGTCACCCCTAAAAAATTTTGGGTGCATTGCCTTTGTCCATAACCACAGTCCAAACAGAAGCAAACTCGATCCCCGAGCCTTAAAATGTATCTTCCTTGGTTACTCCCCAACTCAGAAAGGTTACAAGTGTTGTGATCCTACCTCTCGCAGATTCTATGTCACTATGGATGTCACCTTTTTTGAAAATCAGTCTTTCTTTCCGACAACTTCTCTTTAGGGGGAGAGAATCATATGCTCGAAGATAAGTTCTGGAAAGTTTCATTACCCATGTCACTACAGCCTTCAGCTTCACCTCTGTCTTCGCCCGCAGCTGAACCAACAGTGACCACAACACCAAAGGAGGTGTCACCGCATGTTGCTCCACCAACTGAGCTCCGTGTTTACTCAAGATGACAACCAAATTCTAAAATAGTACACGACCTTATCTCTCAGTATGGCCAGGAGTCTGAACCAAATGCACATTCATCGGGTATCATTTCTCCCATTCCTATGTCTGATTTGGAGTCAGATAACCTTAATCTACCCATTGCTCTTAGAAAATGAATTAGAACCTGTACACAACACCCCATTTCCAAGTTTGTTTTGTTCCATAGACTGTCCTCCTCTTTTAAAGCTTTTGCCACTAATCTGTCATGTCTAGAAATTCTCAGGTCCTATACAGGAGGCTGTAAATGTTCCTGAGTGGAGGAAAACTATTTTGGAGGAAATGCAGGCCTTGGAAAAGAATAAGACTTGGGAGATGGTTGATCTTCCAAGAGATAAGAAGCCAGTGGGATGCAAATGGGTGTTTACAGTCAAGTACAAAGCAAGGCTGGTTGCAAAGGGCTTTACCCAAACATATGGTATTAATTATCAGGAGACATTTGCACCAGTGGCAAAGATGAATACAATCAGAGTTCTGTTGTCTCCAGCTACCATTTTTTTTTTTTTTTTTTTGATAAGTAAACAAGGTAAATGGTAATTTAATTTTTGTACAAAAGGTAAGACTCCAGCTACCAATTTTGATTGGCCTCTTCACCAACTTGACATAAAAAATACTTTCCTAAATGGGGAGTTAGAAGAAGAGGTGTACATGGATTTACCTCCTGGCTTTGAGAAGAAACGTGGAAATAATAAGGTGTGCAAGCTGAAGAGATCTCTCTATGGATTGAAACAATCTCCACGGGCATGGTTTGAGAGGTTTACCAACTCTATTATGCAACAAGGATACCTCCAGAGTCAAGCTGATCATACACTCTTCTTCAGACACATGGAAGATGGTAAAAGACACATGGAAAATGGTAAAATCACTATTCTTATAGTGTATGTTGATGATATAATTATGACTGGTAATGACAGTGTTGAGATGGAGAAATTGAAGCGGATTTTGGCCGGTGAATTTGAGATAAATGATCTAGGCCCTTTGAGATACTTTCTTGGTATGGAAATTGCGGGGTCCAAGAAGGGAATATTTGTCTGACAAAGAAAATATACCCGACTTACTCAAGGAAACTGGTTTGCTTGGTAGTAAACCTGCTGAGACACCTATTGATCATAATCACAGACTCGGCAGTGACACCAAGGGATGCCCTGGAGATAAAGAGCAATATCAAAGATTAGTAGGGAAGCTGATTTATCTCTCTCATACTAAACCAGACATTGCATTTTCAGTTAGTGTAATCAGTCAATTTATGCACTCTCCAGTTGAGAGACATTTTGAAGCAGCTTACAGAGTTCTTAAGTACTTGAAGAGAACTCCTGGGAAAGGCTTATTCTTTGAGAAGAATAATCATATGCAGGTTGAGGGGTTCACTGATGCTGACTGGGCCGGTTCAGTTAGTGATAGAAGATTAACTTCTGGGTATTGTACATTTGTTGGAGGAAATCTAGTGACTTGGAGAAGTAAAAAGCAGTCTATGGTCAAGAAGTAGCACTGAGGCTGAATTCAGAGCAGTTGCACAAGGAGTTTGTGAACTGTTATGGTTGAAAAGGCTACTTAAAGAATTGAAGGTTCCTGTGTCTAGTCCTATGAAACTGTACTGTGATAATAAGGCAGCTAAAAACATCTCTCATAATCCTGTTCAGCACAACCGTACCAAGCATGTTGAGGTGGACCGCCATTTTATTAAGGAAAATCTTGAAAGGGGTGTGATTTGTATGCCTTTCGTTCCAACCGAACAACAACTTGCTGACATTCTCACGAAAGGATTACAAAAAACATCTTTTGAATCAATAACTAGCAAGCTGGGAATGACTGATATCTTCGAACCAGCTTGAGGTGGAGTGTGGAAAGAGTCAACGATTTTCTAAGATTTTATACAGCTGTGTAATGTACAGCTATGTATTTTATTTATTGTACAACTAGGTAGGATCAGATCTGTTACCATAATTTTAGGAGTAGATTACTATCTTATTAGCTGTAAATTATCTTTAAATAGGCTTGTAATCTCTTGGCATTTGAATATGAAAAAAGTATTCTTCTTCCTGTGTTGAGTTCACTTCATGTGTAAAATATGAAAGCTGTAATAAGGAGTAGTTGACTACGACTTGTATTCACAACACTTATAAAAATTCTAAAAAAAGAGGAAGCATCTTAACTAAATAAAGTGAAAGTAACAAGTGACTGTACAATTTATCTTTAAATATGCATAATAAGCCTATATATTTAATTTTTTTAACTGGTATAACTCTTTTTTTTTTTTTATAAGTTGAACTGGTATAACTCTGTTTATAACTCACAAGGAAGGCTCTTGTAATTATGATGTTTCCCAAGTAGATAACAGGTGCAAAGATGTTCAATAAGAAGTGGTTGACAACATGTCAAGTATTTGTTGTTACTTTCTCAATGTTGTAGTGTTGATCCTATTTGTGCACCTTTATAGCAACTTTTATTTGATATTAGGTGCACCCTAGTTCATCAATTCAAGCTTGGAGCAGGGGAGCAGCACCTATTATAGAAGGATCATGTGACTGAGAACTGAACCCAATACAGTGCCAGCTCTAGGGATGTCTTAGTGAGCATATGGCAGCCAGTAGAATAGACCATCACTAAATCAGTAAACATCCTAAATCCTCTCATTAAATCTGTGCACTAGATTGACTTTCCGCATACTATAGAACATGCAGAGCTTCATTGGATCTGATAAGTAACAAGTTCTAAAGTTTCATAATTGGGCATAGTTTAGAAGAAACAAGTAATTTTACAAAAACAATACCTGCTCTCGAGCAAAGAGAGCCGCTCTAAACTCTCTCCAGTCCAAGGTTTTACGATGGGACTTAGGGGAAGCAGTGTCACCGGATTTGTTGGTCTCAGAGGAAGGATCGTTTCCTTTTACACCATCTCCCTCCGGAATGGACCGACCATCATTACCTGCATTTGTAAAAGCAGCCATTACAGAATATATATTAACCGCTTTACATTATAAGTAATGAAGTGTCTAAAAATCTAAAAAGTAGTAGGAAATCTCCAAGCTTGCAGAGTATGAGTATCATGTAAAAGATAACATTCCAACTAATTATAATTACTAAAATGGCATTTTAATTCTTATAAATGCAAAAGTTTAATCATTTTCCCTAAAAGGAAAGCTTCTGATATATCTCTTTTGTTCAATATGAGTCGATTCCAGGCTTCATTCTATTAAGAAGTAAAGTAGGTAGTATAAGGTTGAAATTGAAGACCAGGTACGAAACATTGCAGATTTTCGAAGGTTTATACATATATAAATTCTATTGATGCTTGTGCACCTGACAGAAATATCTACACACACTCATAATAGTGAAGCCATGCACCTCAGAAACACACATACACTCAACAAGACTTGCTCCAAACCAACAAGGGAAGATAATATGAATAGATCTGTTGACAAAACATATTTATTGAGATGAAGCTGATATGGAGATGTAAGAAATAGAGAAAATGCTCACTCTCTCTCTCTCTCTCTGGGGTGTTGTCATTCTTGATTGGATAGGATAAATGGGAGAAAAGGATTTGGGGATAGAAATGAGCAAGGTGATGAAACTTTCTGATGAGAAACACAGAGGATTCCTCATCGTTGCCCCTCTTGTATGGGTGGTGAAATTTTTAAGTAGAGACTACATACATCCTGTCTGTAGCTAACACATAATTCTATAAAAAGAATTGAAAACCTAGTAAAATCTATGAAGCAGGTCAGTTAGCATAAACAAAAATTTAAATCATAGCATGCCATCAACATGTGCATAAATGTAAAATTGAATTCTTATTCTGTTAGATCATGTTTTAATTCATGGAAAAGATGTATTGAATGCGTAAGTCACTTTTTGTGAAGTTTTCAAGTTGTGAAAATTGACATTTGTAGGGGTCGCCCTCGAGGAGAGTAGGTGGGTAGGAGCCCATGGTTGAGAGGTTTGAGAAAAGGCTTGTGGTAGAAGAAGCAATACCTTTCTAAGGGTGTGAGGGTCACCCTAATGAAAAGCACCTTGTCGAGCCTTCCTACTCTACTTACTTCCTTCGCTGCTAAAGTAGTTAAGAGATTAGAGGCGCTTGAGCGTAATTTCCTGTGGGGTGGTATGGGGGAAGAGTTTAAATACCATCTCGTTTGCTAGGAGTTGGTGGTCTCGAGATTCGATGACTGACACCGTTCAACAAGGCCTTCTTGGGGAAGTAGCGGTGGACATTTGGTGTGGGAAGGCAGACACTTTGGAGGAGGGTCATTACTAGCATATTTGGGAGGAGAGGGTGGTTGGTGCTCTCTCGAGGTGAGGATTCCTGGAGGGGTCGGTGTTTGGAATTTCATCCAAAAGGGTAGGACAAATTATCCAAACAGATCAGATTCTGGGTTAGGGATGGTAGGGGCATTCGCTTTTGGGAGGATATCTGGTGTGGTGACCGCTCGCTGGCATGTTCCTTTCCCAGACTTTCTATGAATAGGCATGCCTTTGTGGGCGACTGTTATTGACTTGATAGCGGAGGACAACCTGGGATGTGTGCTTTTCGGGACATTTCCAAGACTGGGTGCTGGACGATGCCATTAGGTTCTTGGAGATTCTGCATATAGCCAGGAGGTAGATGGTGGAGTGGCTGACTGCCAAGTGTTGGTTTATCTTATCAGGGGAGGATGGATGTCCGCTCTTCTATGCTTTCTCGTTGCCTTTTGGTGCATTTTAGACAACCCCCTTACATTTAGGCTTGATATTAGCTTGTATATTTGCATATCTTTTATTACATATGTTCAGGCTTAATTATAGACTATGTTAGATTTAGGCTTGATAATTTTTTTCCTAAAGATTTAGGCTTGATATTAGCTTGTATATTTGCATATCTTATGTTACATATGTTTAGGCTTAATTATAGGCTTAGCTTGCATTTAGATTTCGATTTGTGCTTGCCTTTTATGTATAAAATATAAAAATATCCCTATTGGGATGAATACACTTGAGTTGAATTTTCCCAATTCTTGCAACTTTCACATGGTTTTAGAGGGTCTTACGATCCTATAGTCTTTTTCGTTGCTTCTTTTTTTTCTTTCTTTTTTTCCTCTTCTATTTCCTTTTTAGTAGAGGCTCTGCCTCCTCTTCCATGAGATCCCTCTGGTGTGTCTATTTGTATTGAGGTGCCCCTTGTTTAACCATTGTCCGGCTTCACTATTATCACACCATGTCTTCCTTTTCTAGTACTCTGGCTTACAAACTCTGCAACATCTACTCCAAAAACCTCTATGGTATATTGTTCCTTGTTCTCAGTCCTTAACATCACCAATTTGGTGACTTTTAAATTGACTAACTCAAACTATCTCCTTTAGTGCTCTCAAGTCAAGCCCTTTTTGGTTGGGCAGAATTTTTGGTGCTTAGTTGATGCCTCTGTGGCAACCTTGTGAATAGGTTTGTGTGAGCGTATGCAGGTGGGACCAATAGACTACCACAGTGGGTAAGCTACAGGTGCACAATCCCACATCGCCTGAGTGTGGATGGGGCAAGTGCTATATGTATGACACAACGTGTTTCGAAAGCCGTGATGGTTGTGAACCCACCAAAACTCCAGAGTTAAGCGTATTTAACCTAGAGTAATACCAGGATAGGTGACTCCCTGAGAAGTCTCTGGTCTGGGGGAGCCAAAAGCGGACAATATTGTGCCTGGATAGGGTGAGGGTTGTTACAAATGGTATTGGAGCCTAACCTAACTGGAAGTGTGGCCAATGGAGACGTTAGGCCCCAAATGGGGGGTGATCGTGGCCACCTTGAGGGCGGGTGTGTGTGAGCATGTGCAGGTGGCACCAGTAGACTACCACACTGGACAAGCTACAGGTACACAATCCCACATCGCCTGGGTGTGGATGGGGCAAGTGCTATATGTAGATTCAACACCCTTCTATGACAAAACGCATTTTAAAGCCGTGATGGCTGTGAACCCACCAGAACTCCAAAGTTAAGCGTGCTTAACCTAGAGTAGTACCAGGATGGGTAACCCCTGGGAAGTCTCTGGTCTGTAGGAGCCAAAAACAGACAATATTGTGTCTAGATAGGGTGAGGGTTGTTACAGGCTCTTATCATGCGCCCTCGGAATTCCTCACGACGACTATTGGCCAACCCAGTGTACCAAACCTAGATTACTTAACTAGGCTCGCACTGATCAGACAATCCTTAATCTTCTCAATGCCATCTTCTCTGAGCCCATTCTGGGATTGGTTGTTGGCCTCCACACTTCACAAGATGTTTGGAGCTATCTTGAACGACACTTCACGAGATGTTTGGAGCTATCTTGAACGACACTTCTCTCAGCAATCTGTTGCTCATGCCTCTACACTTCGATTCCGCTTCTTGTCTCTCACCAACGAGAACCACTCCATCTCTGACTATTTCTTCATATACCAAGTCCGCCAAGTCGTTGGCTGATTCCTTAACTTCTATTTGTCAGCCTATATCCAATGATTATTTAGCTACTTGTGTTCTTCGGGGTTTGGATATGGGTTATGAGATGATTATGACAGCTACACCGCATTTTCAGCCGTTGTCATCATTTCTAAAACTTCGAGCTCCACTACTGTCCTTTGAGGCTCAAACTTCTACTCCTACTCCACATCCTCAGGCTACACTTCTAGCTCAGTAGTCTTCTGTTCCTCTTGGGTTTTATTCTACATCTTCTGCTATCAGACAGGGCAATAATTCTGTTAATCGAGGGGGCAACCATAGGAATCGGAACCACAACCGCGGGGTTGCAACAACAACAATCGTGGCTCGGGTCAGGGTTGTACTCGCATTTCCAGTTCGTTTTTTCAGTTGTGCAATGGTACCGGACATGTTCCCCACCAGCGTCGTTGTTGGTGTGCTCATCCTACAACTGACTGACTCAATCCTGCCTGTCACCATTCCCTGTGCATAGTTATCAGCAACAAGTTTTACCTAAGTCCTTTTAACCACCATGTCTGAATTATCAGCCAGCTACAGTTCATGACCTGAATTGGTACCCGATTCAGTTTATCTTGCCAATGGATTTCACCTCCCTATTCACTCATACGGGTAACATGTCTCTGTTGGTTCTTCTTCCTTTCAGCTTAACAATGTCTACCATGTTCCTGCTATGCATAAGAACCTACTTTCTGTTGCCCAATTCACTCAGGATAATAATGTCCATCTTTCCTGTTATGCACAAAGATTTTACATTCAAGGCCTAACCTCTGGTGCTCTTTTGTTTCAAGGCCTATGTAGGGATGGTCTTTATCCTTTGTCATCTATCTCCCCAGTTACCCAAGTCTTTATCTGAAATTGATGTTGCAGAAACAATTTCAACTTAACAATGACCATTGACCATAGAGTCATCATTGATGACAACAATGTCAACCGCAAATACTACAAGAAAAATGTAACCTGTTTCAATATGTTGAATTTTTTTTTTTCTTTTTTTTTTTTTTTGATAAGTACATAATGTATTAAAGAGCGTTTAAAAGGGGAACGTATCCCTCAAAAGCTACAAAAGGCCAAAAAGGGCCTCTAAACCCTCGAAGAACCCAAAAGATCAACAATCTGCTCTATGGATTTACAATTTCTCCCTAGAACCCAACAAAAAAGGGTGCTAATAATGGAGAACTTCAAAGATGCAATAGGATTTTCCTTTCCTTCGAAAGATCTCCTATTTCTCTCAAGCCAAATGCACCACCAAACGCATAAAGGTGTAACCCTCCAAAAATCACGGACTTGAACCCCCACTGTACAACCTTTCTAAGCGCCTCAATCAAACATCTGGAAGACCAAATACGGAATCCAACAATCCCGCGCCACCGGGTAATGAAAAAGAAGGTCATCAACCGTTTCCTCATCATTCTTGCACATAAAGCAGCAGTTAACCACAATTTGTCCCCTTCTCCTTAGTTGAAATATTGATTGGTCTATTTAGCA